CCCCAGTCCCGAGGGAGCCTCGCGGCCTCTCCGGCTGCCCCGGATGGCCCTTTCAGACGTGCACCTGCCCTGTCCCAGGACTCCCGGAAACGCCAGCGTGCCCGTAGCGCTCCTCCCAGCCTTAGAAAGCCCCGGCGGTGTGTCTGGCACAGAACCTTCCCACGCATACGCGAGAGACTCCAACCCCCTTCTTGTTTTCCCGAAAGGTACCTTCTTTGCTTAGATGCCTCCATCTGAGTCGTTCTCCATTCCTTCAGGTTTTGCTCGGAGATGTAATTTGCAAGGGACTTTTTATCCAGAGGGCTGCAGGGCAGGGAATGGAAAGGTTTTGCTTGTGAGACTAGCGGCGCACGGTTATGATTGTTTACTCAGAAATAAGGCCCATGGTGTTCAATTGGGCTTACTCTCCTGTAAGTGTACAACTTTTACTTCAAATACTTCTAGGCATTGTTGAGCAAGTCTGAAGGTGAATTGTGAAATGGAAGAGCACAGGAAAGCTGTCTTCCCCCTCCCCTCCAAGTTGCCCATTGGACCAGCTTAAAACTTATGGTTTCTAGTAGTGGTGATCTCAAAGGGTAGAACAAGGTCTCTCCATGCACCTGCTGCCAGTGACGCTTGGAATTAAAGCAGAAACCTCTTGTATGCCAAGCCACTGAATGAAGGAATTGGGGAAAGAAGGTCCATCTGTGTTTTCTCAAGGGGTCTGTTTTTATTGAGGTATGCATACTCTTAGCCTGACCTGTCTCACTCTGAAAGCTGAGGTGGAGTAGCTAAGATATGGAACTTGGACAAGGCAGAGCAGAAGTGGATTCAGATCCCTGTTTAGTGTTCTCTTTTGCGGCTGACAGACAGGCGAGAGCCGAGGCAGGGATATGGAGGCAAGCAGGCAGAAGCGAAGGCTGCAATAGCAAGCCTTATGAGAGCTGTTGAACCAACAAAGTTGCCAAGCTTCTTCTATAGGACCCTGGGATCCCTGCCCTCTCTGTTGACCTGGTTAAAGTTCCAGCTTCTGTCAAGAGCTGCAACACCTCACCTCCTTCCTGGGAAAGACTGGAAAGCAGAATGTGTTCATTCATGGGGTCCCTGTCTCTGCCCTGGTCCTCCTCCATCTCTGATCCTGAGGTTCAGGGCTCCTGGTCATTGGAAAGTGGTGATAGGATGCAGGGCTTTCCAGGTGGTTCTCGGCTGTCTGGCTAACTTGGGGTGGGGTCCACAACTGGCTGCTGTGACAGGGTCATGGGGTCTGCCTGCAGAGGGCTCAGGGGACTGCGCCTCAGAGGTATCAGGGCCTGAGAGGGACTCCTCCTCATCTGAAGAATCTGTCCAGGAGGAACTGGGGAAAACCAGGAAACTTGGCCATGAAGCTCACTGGGTGATCTTGGGCCAGTTGGCAACATTCAGTCTAACGTATCTGTCACAAGGTGAGAGAGCACTATTGTGAACTATTTGGAGGATGACTGGAGTAAAAAGAACAGGGGAGAAGATTAAACACCCATTTCTAGCAGGTCTCGAAAGTACTATGAGTGTCATATAATAAGGTTGGATTCTCAGGGCTCAGGGGTCCCTGCTGGTGTGGGCTGAGAAGAAGATCATCTAAAACCAAGGAAGTCTGCGTACAGCTGTCAGAACTAGAGCTCTCTTGTGATGTTGTCAGCAGTGAGTATGCTATGTGCCTGGCTCCAAACATAAGGGGACGGGGGCACAGCCATATATTGCACTACCCTTTCTTGCAGTTCAGCAGAAATATTGTGGTAGTAAAGGTAAAGGTTCCCTTGCTCGAAAGCCAGTCGAGTCCGACTCTAGGGTTGCGGTGCTCATCTCTGTTTCAAAGCCAAAGAGCCAGCGCTGTCCGAAGTCGTTTCCGTGGTCATGTGGCCGGCATGACTAAACACCAAGGCGCACGGAACGCTATTACCTTCCCACCAAAGTGGTCCCTATTTATCTACTTGCAATTTCTTGCTTTCGAACTGCTAGGTTGGCAGGAGCTGGAACTAGAGATGGGAGCTCACTCCGTCATGCGACACACTCGCTGCAGTTCAGCGTCTTAACCACTTGAGCCACTGCAGTGGTGTCAAAATATACCTTCCTGTCCTCACAGAAAACCTGGGACTGCAGCTCAACAGTCCCACCATTCACTGTGGTGGTCTTACCTGGGCACTGTGGATGCTGCTGTAAAGGGCACTGTTAAGTTCCAGACCAGGGCCCGGAGAGGGAATTGCTCACGGTGAGAAGGCCATCAGCTGCACTTTCACTCCTATGCAAATGGCGCTCCAGTTACCAGTTAGTTGGTAGTAATATTTAGGCATGCAGTGTTGCCTGATAGGGTGTTCAAATCAGAATGCGGAGGGCTCATTCTCCGGCAAACAAACATAACCTCTTTGCCTCTCACAAAAAAGTATAGTTTGCCTCATTCAGCATTTTGCATTGATTGTGCCCTTGCTGTACCTGCCCCAGGGAGAAATTTGCCAGTGCAGCACCTTTCTTGGCACGACAATTCTGTAAAAAGTCAAAGCAAGGATGCCTAAGTCAGGGTAATGAGAGAAGGCTGCTGCTTTGTTTTGCAGTGAGTTGAAATCTCCAACAGAAAATGTATACTTGATCAAAGAGATAGGTAGGATGTTCTAATTAGAGTCAGTGTTCCTTGGCAAGGAGACAAAGACAAAAGAGAGCTGTGACTGCTGCAGCAGAGGGGATTGGAGCGGTTTCTGCCACCACTTGAAAATGCTAGCTGCGGAGAACCTGGATGTGGGTCTTGTGGCCACCTCATATCCATCTCCTGACGTTCATGTCTGAATTAAGAATGTGCCAATCCAGCCAAACAGTGAATCACAAATATTCTTTTTAACATGATGGGACAGGGAAAGAGTAGCACACAGTGTGGGATTTGGTGCCTAGTGCAAGCAGGGAGAGCAGTAAATAGAAAACAGGTAAATGAAAATGTGTGTAAGCTTATGGAGAAACTTCTACAGGGCAAGAAAGGCTCATGTTAATCAGAGTTATCTTGACTGGTTATCCTTCCTGACAGGCAGGAAGTATGACCAAACATTGCTGAGTGACACTTGAAATGATAAAGGCTCCTGCGCCCTGAAGTCCAATCTTGTTATGACTGTGTTATTCTTGGAGACAGCTCATCTTATTCCCAGGGCTGATTTATAGAAGCAGCAGCTCTGATCATAATTGCTTGACATCCTTTGATACCAATTTACTTAGATCTAGGATGACCATCAGAACAATCATTCTAGGACTGTCAATTATGCATTCTTTGACTGTCCAGCACTGAAGATGATGAATGATTCTGTTCATTGCTGCAAGTACAGGCTCAGTGCCATTTTTTTTTTAAAAAGGCTAGAAATGACTGTCTTATGTATTCTTAGGAGACACTGCTTGGGTTCAGAAACGAGCAAGCCATAGATGCAGGCCACAATTTGCCTGTGGGCTATAATGGCAAACTGTGGTTCTGCTGATAAAATCTCAGATCAGAAGAAGTGTGTGTGTGTGTGGGGGGGGAGTACACAACCTCCAAGGATCTCTCATGCTTGTTTATGTCGTGGCAAGCGATGGTTTGCTGTTGCACCTGAACTAAGTCACCATGGTCTCCAAACAATGAATTATGGGCCAAAAGTGCACCTTTCTGTATAAACTGATCTTTTGTGATTAGTCAGGTTTCACATGAAGTATGAGCGTTTACTGTTGGCCTAACTGGGGCATTATGTGCCAAATGCCAAGGTATGGTGTATCTTCTTTTCTTGCAACTTGAAACCATTTTCTTACAAGTGAAGCAGTACCATGGTCTGACACAGTTTCAGGGCTTGGATTCAACCTGTGGGCTGCTTTGGGTACTCCTGTCTTTGTGTGCATTGATGGCTGTAGAAAAATTGCAAATGATTGCTGATTATGGACAATTGTACAAAAATTGTGCTTTGTTTCCTGTTTATATAGGAATATTGGGCCATCTGTGTCTCTGCTTGAGCTATATCAATCTCTTCTCTTTGTTCTTCATTCTCCCTCTCCTTGGCTATCTTCTTTAAAAACCTTAAACAACAAGTAAGAAAATGGTGTCAGTGCGACTCATCTTAGGTTGGCCCCTGTTCCATCTGGAAAACAAGCATAGGAGAAATATCCTATTTTGCTGAGGCAACTAATCCTCCTTGATTTCATTCAGCATTTTAATATTTTGTTTGTATGGCTTCTCAAAGTCGTGTCATGGCAGTGAAATTATTTAACATTCAAATTATATATATAGTTTGGCCAGTAAATCTGTTACATTATCATGCTGTTAAAACAATGTCATGCAATACAAGCTGAAGGTAGTTTGTATCTACAAAAATTGGATGTCCTGGCAATTTATTGCCCTTTCAGCATACTTTCTCCTCAGCTTCTGTGCAACCACCATAAAATTTGGCAATCTCATACATAATATTTGTCTTGGTTACATAAGAGGTATACAAGTTTAGATTGCTGATCTGTATTTATCATACCAGCAAACCATTTAACTGCAAACCTCTTCTTTGGTTCCATGTATGCAGGACAATAGACCTTTGAGGCTTTTAATGGCTTTGGGTTGGGGGTATGTCAAAAAGTGTCTCCTCCTGTACTGTTCAACCTGAAAGTTAGGATCGTCTTCTCAAGCCGTGCTCTCTATCTCCCAGTCTGCAGGGGGAGGCAGGTAACCACTGCTAATCGGCCTTTTTCAGTGACGGGCACCTTGCCTTTGGAATGTCGTCCCTCTCAAGACTTGCCTGGCACTGCTCTTACTCTACTTTAGGCACCAGCCCCAAACATTCCTTTTCATACAGGCTTTTAACTGAAGCAGTTCCATCTTTTTAAAGCTGTCTTTATGGTCTGCTTCTAGCCTGAGGACAGTCATATAGACATCGGATTAAGTTGACAAATGTTTTTGCCATGTGTTTTCTGCCGGTTTATTTTTTATGCTGTGGTTTTATGATTTCATTGTATTTTGTGAGCTGTCTTGAGCAGGTCTTCGGAGAGGCAGCTTATAGATTTCCCAAATAAATAAATCAAGAAAACCGATGCAATACTGACACAGGTCCTCAATTGGCTGTGCTCTACAGATAAATAATTGTTAGTAGCATCCATTGAGAAGATGCACTGCATGGCTTTGCAGCCTTAATGCCAAGCAGGCCTTGCAGAAGGAGCTAAGCAAAAAATCATGAACAGTATTAATACATGTGTTACTTTGGCATGC